CTGTGGTTTTGATTTGCCTTTCCCTGATGACTAATAATGTGTATGTGTGTGTGCTAGGTTGTTTCAGTTGTGTCTGACTCTTTGTGACCCGTGGGCTGTAGCCCACCAGGCTCCTCTGTCCCTGGGNGCAAGAATACTGGGGGGGGGGGGGGTTGTCACGCCCCCCTCCAGGGGAATCTTCCCAATCCAGGGATCAAACCCTGCATCTCTTATGTCTCCCTCCACTGGTAGGCAGGTTCTTTACCACTAGTGACACCTGGGAAGCCTGATGATGGTGAATATCTTTTCACAGACTTGCTGGTTATTTGAATATCTTCTTTGGAAAAATGTCTGTGGAGATTTCCCCCCTTTTTAACATTGGATTATCATTTTTATTGTTGAGTTGAAAGTTCTTTTATATATTCTGCACAACAGGCCTTTGTTAGATATGTGATTTGTAATTATTTTCTCCCATTCTGAGGGTTGTCTTTTCACTTTCTTAATAATGCCCTTTGAAGCACAAAAGTTTTAAGTTTGATGAAGTCCAGTTTATTTTTTTCTTTTGTTGCTTGTGTTTTTTGTCATGTCCAAAAAAACCATTGCTTCATACAAGGTCACGAGGATTTACAACTATGCGTGGAGCAGTGTATGTGTCTTTTTTTGGTGGCTGTATCGTGTGGCTTGTGGGATTCTACTTCTCCAACCAGGGATCGAACCCCAGGTCGCTGGCAGTGAGGTCGCCAAGTCTTAACCATTGTACTACTGGGGAATTCCCATAGAGCAGTGTATTTTTTAAATAAAAAAATTTTTTTCACCACTCATGGGACAAAAACATTATGAGTTGCGACCCAACATTCCCATACGTGCATATGTTCCCATATATGTCTTTATGTTCCGTGAAGTTCTATAAGACAATAGTCTTCCTATTTATTCTATTTCACTAAAAATAGAATGGGTCAAGACCCACTAAAAAAATTTTTTTTTAAAAAAATATTTGGTTGTGCTGGGTCTATAGTTGTGGCATGTAGGATCTTCAAACTTCATTGCAGCATGCGGGATCTAGTTCCCTGACCAAGGATCAGATCTGGGCCCCCTACCCTGGGAGTGCAGAGTCTTAGCCACTGGACCACCAGGGAACTTCCAAAACCCATTAAATTGATCCCGTGACCCATTTATTGATGGGGACCTGCAGGTTGGAAAACCACTACTAATGTGCTGACAAAAACGTTTTTGTGTGCCTCACCTCACTGTGGTCTCCCCAATGCAGCCATGTGAAGCGGTCAGCATTGTGTCTCTTTTAAAGATGAGAGACTGAGGCTTAGAGAAGTTGTGACCTCCTGTCACATAGCAGGTCCGCACAGGACTGATCTACGCCTGTGCATTTCCATCTTTGCACCCAGTGCCCCTGCTATGGTTTCCACACCTTCCTGTGCTCAAAGTTCCCTGGGGTGGCTTGTTAAAAATGCTGATTTCTAACCTGCAACCGCAGAGATTCTGACTGTAATTTAAGACGCATCTCCTGGATCAGAAGACAGCAGGTAGCGTCTTTAAAATGGATAACCAGCAAGGACCTACTGTATAGTCCAGGGAACTCTGCCCAATATTGCTGGCAGCCTGGATGGAGGGGAGTTCCGGGGAGAATGGATACATGTATATGTATGGCTGAGTCCCTCGCTATTCACCTGAAACTACCAACGCTGTTAATTGGCTATACTCCGGTACAAAATAAAAAGTTAAAAAGAAAACACGGCAGTGAGCAGCTGTGAGTTTGTGGAAGGGGCTCTGAACTAGGAATCAGGAGGCCCGGCTCTCTGCTTGCTAGCTCTGGGATGGGCTCCACGGATGTTCCCCATGACTGACTGAGCGCCTCCTGCTCTGGCCTGGGAGATGGCAGGCTGGGAGAGGTGGCCCTGGGACGCGGCAGGCCTGGAGCTCAGAACTCTCGCTTCACCGAGCACACTTCTGAGGTGACAGGACGTTTTTGCCGCTGTAGACTGGTGGGTGGGCTGTAGCCAAGAAGAAGTGATGTTTTGCTTGCCTCAACAGTATCTGTTCATGCTCTTAAACGCTGAGCCAACCTAAACAGATTGGGAGATTTCGTGTAATAATTCGATTTTAACGCTTCTTGAAAAGTCAGAAGATCTGGTGGCCTGGGCTTTTTGCTGCACAATTGAGGTGGGCTGGGCTCGAGTCGGGCCTGCCGCAGTGGGGCGGGCCGCAGTCCCCGCCACTCCCTATCGTCTGCCTGCCCACCGACTCCTGTGTAGGTTGCCTCGCCCCTGCGGGCATGGATGAGAGTTGGTGCCCGCCGCCACCAACTCCGTGGCCCCGAGGCCCTCCTGGCCCTGGCTCTCAGGGGGTTGACTTCCCCAGCAGCGGGCTGACCCACATGCGGACGCCTGCCAGCTTTCTGCCGTCTTCTCCGCGTTCCCTTTCCCTGGTCGGCGCGCTTTGCTCAGAGATGACTCTGGCCATTTGGAAAGCCCACAAGCTCTTGGAGTTAGGCAATGTTGGGCTTCAAAGCCATGCCCCTCGTTCGCTTACTCACGGACCTCGGGGAAGTTACATTACTTCCCAGTTTCCACATCTATAAAATAAAGGGAAAACTGATCACTGGCTGCTGCTGTGTCCTTCCCCCCCTGCTCTTTGGGGGATCTGCCCACCTGCAGAGAGCATACATCCCCTCCATGCTGCTCTGTTCAGAATTAGGAAACCACAAGACCTGAGGCATGTTTGCCCCGAATCAGCTGTGTGTGTGTGTGTGTGTGTGTGTGCGCGTGCGCTGTGCTCAGTCATGGCCCACTCTTTGTGGCCCCATGGACTGAAGCCCGCCAGGCTCCTCTGCCCGTGGAAATTTCCAGGCAAAGATCCTGGAGTGGGTTGACATTTCCTACGCCATGGGATCTTCCCGACCCAGGGACCGAACCCATGGCTCTTACATCTCCTGCACTGGCAGGCAGATTCTTTACCACGGAGCCGCCTGGGGAAGCCCCCTGAATTAGCTTTACCAACATTGAAGAGGCCCTTCGAAATTCTGCCTGAGTCACTCTCGTGGCTCTGAAGAGGGGCTGGAAAGGGGACTCCTCTTTACTGGGTTCCCTCAGACCCCCTCAAATAGCAGTTCTTTGGGGAGTAATTGTGAAGGGCAGTGCCCGTCACATAGCAGGTGCTCAATAAATGGCAATTGTTATTTTTTAAAAAAATATTCCTCCTCCTGTTTAGTTACTCATCTAGAAGTAGGAAAGCGGGGAGCAGTGCCCGAGGGTGGGTTCAAAGCAGCAGGAAGAAACACAGAGATAAGGAGGGGAAAGCAGCCTTGAAAATACTTCACCGGAAAGCTGCCTTGCAGGTCCCTATGCGTGTATGCAAATTGCATGCAAATCCAACACATGCTGATGAGCAGCCCTCCTCAGGAAGTCTGAGTGAATGCGGCCCGGGGGAAAATCTGGGTGGAGGTCCCTGAATTCCAGGGAGTTTGTGGTCAGAACTAGGGAAGCCTTTGCCTGGGAATGGGGTGCAGAGGGTGGCCGGGGGAGGTGGGCAGCAATGACTGGGGTGAACAGGGTGGGGCTGGGGGTCGAGAGGTCAGTGAGGGTGGAGAGGGGCTCCCAGGGCAGGAGGGAGACCAAGCGCAGGGCCGCTTTGCAGCTCCGCGCCGGCACCCCAGACCTGCAACCCCATGCCCCTACCCCTCACTCCTCATCAGCCAGATGATGGGGCTTCTCCAGGGCCCCGGGTCCATGCCTTCAGTGCCCCTACAAGCTTAGAAAGACAGCGCAGGACATCGGAACAGGCCCCGGAGCTTCAGTGTCAGACAGACCCCAGTGCCCTCCAGCTGTGTGATTTGTGGGCCAGTTACGGGCCCCGGTTTCCGCCTCTGCAAAAGTCTCTCCCTCATAGAGCTCACATGAAGCTCGGTTCAGTGAGGGCCTGCAGTGGGGGAGAAGATGACTGCAGGCATACCATGTTCGGGCTGCTCCATACCCCGCTCCGCCCCCACAGTCCGTGCAGAGATCCACGCTCTTTGCATGCCCTCTCTCATTTCATCCCAGGGAGCCCTTGAACAGATACAGCATTATTATCCCCATTTTACCTATGAGGATGCCAGAGGCCAGTGAGGGCAAGAGCCAGGACAGAGCCAGCTCAGCAGTCGGGCCCACGCTGTTTCTCCTGATGCTCTCCTGCCTTTCCCCCAGAGACAGGCAACCTCTTCATTCTAGAAGTGAAATGAAGCCCAGAGAGGTTGAGTGGCTTGCCCAAGGTCACACAGCCAGTTAAGAGACAGAGCTGGAGCTCGACCCTATCCTCCTGACTGCGGTCACACTCTGTCTGGCCATCACACAAGACCCACCCTCCCGGGCAGCCCGGCCCAACATCTGAGTGGGCTCTGGTTCTCCCTTCTCTGTGCCTGGGAGGACCTTGGCCCTTACACCTCACGGCCTTGATCAGCACAGGTGAGTGCTGGGAGCCTTTAGGGCCGCGGTCTCGTCTCTCCAGGAAAGCTCGCAGGTGCTACCGGCCCGGCTGGGGGCGGGGGGCGGGCGCTGTGTGAGTTCTTGCCTCTCCCTCACCTCCTCCTCGCCTCTCCTTTGGTCCCTCTGTCCCTGCTTGTCAGCTGCCCCTTCCCCTTGCCCAGCTCCAAGGCTGTCAGTGTTTGGGGGAGATTACTCAGTGTTGACATTGGAATATGAATTAGGTGAGAGCAGCAGCCAAATATTGGAATTAGGGAAGGCAGGAGCCCAGGCTGGAATCCAAGAGTGGCTGGAACATCTGTGCCTTGGCTCTTCCAGATGCCTGACCTGGGCCGCCCACCCGAGGACGCCGCAGACAAGTCCTGCCATAGCTAGCGTCGTGGTCCTCCCCTTGCCCGCCGAGGGTGCAGGTTGGAGACCCGCAGACCTCAGCCTCATCCACTCTCTCTGTTCCGAGGCCCGGGAGGAAGCAGAGGCTTCTGCTGTGACTTGAGGGACTGAGGGAAGACTCTGCCCAAGGATTTACCTTTTGTTTCAAGGTCTGAAATCCCACCTTTAGAGTTCTGCTGCTATTGGTCAGATCCACATTTGTCAGAATGTGTTTCAGGAAGCTCACATTCTGCAGACTGTAAAAGAGGCCAGGAAAGTGTGTTAGTGAAAGTGTTAATTGTTCTTCCATGTCTGACTTTTTGTCACCCAGGTACTATAGCCCACCAGGCTCCTCTGTCCATGGGATTCTCCAGGCAAGAGTACCAGAGTGGGTTTCCATTTTCTCCTCCAGGGGATTTTCCTGACCTAGGGATCCAACCCAGGTCACCTGCACTGCAGGCAGATTTTTTACTGAGTAATGAGGGAAGCCATATGTTAGGGAAATGTTATGTTAAACAGCATTTCTACGGGACTCTAAGAGCCTTTGATAACTGAAGAGGCACTGTGATTCTCTTAAAGAAGGCAGGAATTTGTAGCATTTCCCAAACTTGTTTAAGGGGAGAACCTTTCCTCATTCAGAACTTCTTGGGCCAGAGGTAACAGATCCGAATCTAGTCTAGCAGCTGCTGGGGCTGCTGTCCAAAGGTTGGCGTGAGGCTGGGGAAGCCTGAATCAGAACTCGTCTCCTGCGTCAGTGAAACGGAATAGCCGCACCTGCCCTGGGCGTTCAGTTCTTTTCTAAATGAGAGGACATTGTGTGCAGAGGCGCACCGCCCACTGTGTGCTTGCACACAGTTCAGGGAGGGTAATGATCACCACTGTTCCTTCTAGCTGATCTGCTAAATGGGGCCACACTGGCAGCTTGGCAACAGGGATCCCTTGGGGGCTTTTCCCTTCTGTCCAGGAGGAGGGCTGCGTTCACTACAGCATTTCTCAGAGTGAGTCTTGGGCCTCTGTCAGTTTTTCCACAAGGGATGGTTACATGGCAAGTTCAAGGCCAGCTTACCCAGTGGGCAGACAGGAAGGCGCTAGATGTCAGGGGTTGACTCCAGAGTCCCATGCTCTGCCTGGGCCACCACAGTGCCTGTCTCCTGGCATGGGGCGGGGCACCAGAGAGGCAGGTGACAGAGACATTTCCTGCCAGCTCTTGGGGGCAGTGTGCTCATGACCAGCCACCCTTCGCAGGGTCCCAGCCACCCCCCCACCCCCCGACCAGGCTCCCTGCAGGCCAGCCATGTCTGCGTCTGATGCCGGGAACACTTCCCCTCTAGGAGGCCTGGATCTCAAGTGGGACCCTTGCCATCTAGACATCAAAGTTGTCGTCTTTCTCCCTGTCTTCTTCCCACAGAGGCTGCTTGGGCAGCAGGTCTCCCTTGGTCCATCCTGTCTCAGTTGAGGACTGTCTGAATCAGATGTTAAAAGGGGCCAGGTCCTCAAAGGACTGAGCCACCTCCTCCAAGCGGCCCAGAAGACACTCAGTCATAAAAGCAGGGACTACGTCATTTCTCCTCTCTGGGCCTCCATTTCCCCACATTCAGAAAAACTAAGATCATGGCATCTGGTCCCATCACTTCATGGCAAATAGATGGGGAAACAATGGAAACAGTGTCAGACTTTATTTTTTTTGGGCTCCAAAGTCACTGCAGATGGTGACTGCAGCCATGAAATTAAAAGACTCTTACTACTTGGAAGAAAAGTTATGACCAACCTAGATAGCATATTAAAAAGCAGAGACATTATTTGCCCACAAAGGTTCATCTAGTCAAACCTCTGGTTTTTCCAGTGGTCATGTATGGATGTGAGAGTTGGACTGTGAAGAAAGCTGAGCACCGACTGCTTACTTGTGAAATGCTTCTAGGAATTCCCTGCCCTCCATCTGCCTTCAGGGGAGTCCCCATCATTTCTCCCCATGGGAGGGATTCTAGCAGCCTCTCAAGGTGTCTTTCTGCCCCAGGGATGTCTCCCCTTCTGTCCGCCCACCACACAGGAGCCCTCTGGGCTATCTGTCTAGGTTCTGCTCTTCTCACGTCCCTCTCTGGCTTCCACACTTGAAATGGCTCTCCCCTGTCCCTGGGGAGGTCTGTGGCCCCAACACATCTCTGCCACCTCTGCATGGAGTCTGCCTGGAGTTCTCAAACACACCTGGACTTCCAGGCTTCCCAGTCTTTGCTCTTGCCATCCCTTTAAAATGCCTTCCTCTTTTTCCTTCTGATGAAATTTGACCTCACTCTTACCACCCACCTGTCTTTTCTTCTAACTTTCCGCCTAGTGTGGCTCTTTGCATTGTCCCACAACCAGCAATACACACATTTTTCACCTCCACAAATGTCAGAGTACCAACCATCCTTTGTTGTTGTTCAGTCTCTAAGTCCTGTCTGATTCTTTGAGACCCCATGGACTGTAGCCCGCCAGGCTCCTCTGTCCATGGGATTCTCTAGGCAAGAATACTGGAGTGGGTTGTCATTCCCTTCTCCAGGGTATCTTCCTGACCCAGGAATTGAACTTGGGCAGATTGCAGGCAGATTCTTTACCCATCTGAGCTACCAGGGAAGCCCTATAATTTTAATGGATACTGCCAAACTGTCTCCAGAAAAGGCTGAACCATTTACGCCCACCAGCAACAGTCTTACACCGATGTTTTAAATGTCTAGTTTCCTCATTTAAGAACAAGGCCTGAGTCTTGTTTATCACAGTGTCCCTGGTACACAGTAGTCTCAATAGATGCTTCTTGAGTGAATTGAGGGATTGCCAAGCCCTGGCTGTCTTCCCAAAGAAAAGTGGAAGCCCTCCTGTCTCTAAAAAGTCTCTGAAGTCAACTGTGGGACCAGGAGACCTTGATTCATTCCATTCAGCTCTCTGAAATGCAAAGAATCCTGAGGACTCCCTGGTAACTTCTTTGTAAGTGGGGAGTGTGTGGTTTTTGTCTTCAGAACTGGTCTCAAGGATCTGGGTTGCCATGGCAACTCTTAAGCAGGGCCGCCTTTCCCCTTCCCTCCATCTTGGGAGCCTTGGTTGCCATGACAACCATTGGTCCACTCCTCTTCCCCTAACCCTGCCATAGGGCCACCTACTTCCCCGTATGGATCCCACCATTCTTAGGCATGACCCTGATGACACTTTGACCCCATGCACCTTGACACCCTCTTGGGAGGAGATCTGAATGGGGCCACTCCTGAGAACAGCTGGCAGCAGAAAGCAGCACGGCTGTTTGGGAAGCAGAGAGGGCCCAGGTGAGGGGACGGACAGGGCCTTGCTCCCTCCAGGTCCGGTAGGGTCCCTGTTGTTTGGCGACCAGAGGATCATATTGAGAGGTGGTTTGGGGCGTGGATGAGCTTCAGGCCGTATGGCCAAGCATGCTTCCTCCTCACTCTCATTTCAGGTGGCAAAGCGGATGGAGCGGATGCCACTGACTCAGCTCTCCAGGGGTCCTGAGCCTCGGGGGAAGCAGGAGGCCACTCAGATAGCCTGCCAAGAGCACCGTGGAGTTCCTACAGTCCTCTGTAGAATGCCCGGAAAAGAGTCCTGAGGAGGTGGGACACGGGACATTAACGTGATGGGATATTCTGTGGCCAAATTAAAGAAGGACAGTGGAGGATTCTGTTGACCCTCGAAAATTATTTCTAAGAGAAAAAAGCAAGACTCAGATAGCTGTGTGGATATTGATGGCAACTATACAATACCAGTTTGGACTCCCCAGAGCCTGGATTTGGAGGCACATAATAAAAATGTTAACATAGCTTCCCTATACCTGCTTCTCCTCCAGCATTTCCCCATCTCTGTGGGCACCCTTGCCACCTGTGCTTAGTAGCTCAGTCATGTCCGACTCCTGGCGACCCCAGGGACTGCAGCCCGCCAGACACCGCTGTCCATGCAGATTCTCCAGGCAAAAATACTGGAGTGGGTTGCCATGCCACCTGTTCTGTTGCCAAATCGGAAACTTGGGATTCAAACTAGACTCCTCCCACTGCCCTCCTGCCCCGCCCCTGTTGGTCGCGGGTCCTGTGGATTCTACGTTTGAGTGGGTTGCATGTTTATTTCTCCCCATGCGCTGACTGCCACTGCTCTAGTTCACTTTCTTGCTGCTGTTTCCCATGGGGAAACCACTGCCATAACCCCCAGCAGGTCTCTGTCCTCCCAGGCGTGTGTGCCCCCGACTCCCTCAAGCACGCCCGCCATATCGCTGCCCAAGTGGCCAATCTGGCCACGTGGTTACTCTCCTTCAGGCTTCCCCTTTACGCCAGGATCAGTGACAAACTTCTTGGCACCCTTGCGGCCCTTCAAGACCCACTTCCTTGGCCCCCGTCCAGCCTCTTCTCCCTTGAGCTTGCTTCCAGTCACCAGAAGCTGTAGGCCGTTTGCTTTCATTCCTCTTGCCTGTGAACACACCGTGCCCTCTGCCAAGAATAACTTTTCCTGCCTCAGCTGCCAGGTCAGCTTCTATCCACCTCTGAGACTGAGCTCGAGGCTTTCCAAGGTGGTAGAAGAGAGGTGTCACCACTCTATTCACTCCCTGAAAACTGTACAGAAACCACCAGGAGAACTGGAACAGAAACCTGGATTTTGTCTTTGATGGACTCAAATGTCTGTGCTCCTGGATCTCAGCGGGTAAAGCTGCTAGAGGAGGAACCCATGACTCAGCAGAGAGGCCTGTGTTCTCACCCACTCAGCTCCATGGGGTCACTCCTCGTGACCCCATGGACAGTAGCCCACCGTGCTCCTCTGTCCATGCGATTTCCCAGGCAAGAACACTCGAGTGGGTTGCCATTCCCTTCTCCTAGCAGAGAGGAGGAATACCACATCTCCATACAGCTCAGTCATGTCCGACTCCTGGCGACCCCAGGGACTGCAGCCCGCCAGACACCGCTGTCCATGCAGATTCTCCAGGCAAAAATACTGGAGTGGGTTGCCATGCCACCTGTTCTGTTGCCAAATCGGAAACTTGGGATTCAAACTAGACTCCTCCCACTGCCCTCCTGCCCCGCCCCTGTTGGTCGCGGGTCCTGTGGATTCTACGTTTGAGTGGGTTGCATGTTTATTTCTCCCCATGCGCTGACTGCCACTGCTCTAGTTCACTTTCTTGCTGCTGTTTCCCATGGGGAAACCACTGCCATAACCCCCAGCAGGTCTCTGTCCTCCCAGGCGTGTGTGCCCCCGACTCCCTCAAGCACGCCCGCCATATCGCTGCCCAAGTGGCCAATCTGGCCACGTGGTTACTCTCCTTCAGGCTTCCCCTTTACGCCAGGATCAGTGACAAACTTCTTGGCACCCTTGCGGCCCTTCAAGACCCACTTCCTTGGCCCCCGTCCAGCCTCTTCTCCCTTGAGCTTGCTTCCAGTCACCAGAAGCTGTAGGCCGTTTGCTTTCATTCCTCTTGCCTGTGAACACACCGTGCCCTCTGCCAAGAATAACTTTTCCTGCCTCAGCTGCCAGGTCAGCTTCTATCCACCTCTGAGACTGAGCTCGAGGCTTTCCAAGGTGGTAGAAGAGAGGTGTCACCACTCTATTCACTCCCTGAAAACTGTACAGAAACCACCAGGAGAACTGGAACAGAAACCTGGATTTTGTCTTTGATGGACTCAAATGTCTGTGCTCCTGGATCTCAGCGGGTAAAGCTGCTAGAGGAGGAACCCATGACTCAGCAGAGAGGCCTGTGTTCTCACCCACTCAGCTCCATGGGGTCACTCTTCGTGACCCCATGGACAGTAGCCCACTGTGCTCCTCTGTCCATGCGATTTCCCAGGCAAGAACACTCGAGTGGGTTGCCATTCCCTTCTCCTAGCAGAGAGGAGGAATACCACATCTCCATACTCACAGCTGGGAAAGGTACTGGGAAGCGAGTTGATTTCTCCCACACTCACCCAGTTTAGAGGGTTAGGGATTGGCGGCATGGAGTGCCGCAGGAAGTGGGATGGAGGTTGGGGCTCACCACGGGGAGGGAGTCTCACAGTCTAGGTAAGGAGTAGGTACATCTCTAAGTCCTCAGCAGTCGGGTGGCTGTCCCTCCTACTCTCATGAGAGATTGGGGGCGCTGGTCTCAGGGAAGCCAGGTGTACCTAGGAAAGGGGTAAGGAGTCCTACTCAAAAGCAGGGGGATTGAGTCTGCAGATAAATTGAGAGAACTCCAGCACCTTTCTCTCATCCAGCTCCAGAGCAGCAGAATCAGGTCTGTATTGGTATTCTGGCTTCAACCCCACAAGGACATAGAAGAATGTTTCTCTGGAGGAACTGAATAATTCCAAAGAAATGACCAATCAATGCATATATCTAGGGGTCTGTAGCAGACAAGTTGTCAGGAGGAACGACCGTCCTAGAATGTAGCTCATCAAATGGACAAGTCAGGCCCAGGTACTCAAAGCCTCTGACTGATCTTTTGGTGCCTCCTGTTTTTAGATTTTATTGAAGTAGAGTTGATTTACAAAGTTGTGTTAATTTCTGCTGTACATCAAAGTGATTCAGTTATATATATATTCTTTTTCATATTCTTTTCCATTATGGTTTATTACAGGATATGGAATATAGTGCCCTGTGTTATATGGTAGGATCTTCTTGTATATATAGTAGCTTGCTTCTGCTAATCCCAAACTCCCAGTCCTTCTCTTCTTCACCCACTGCCCCCTTCCCCATCCCTGGAAAACACACGTCTGTCCTCTATGTCTGTGAGTCTGCTTTTGTTTTGTGGCTGTGTCGATTGTGTCGTATTTTTTAGATTCCACATCTGAGTGATAGCGTGTGGTATTGTCTTTCTTTTTTAAAAAATAATTTTGCTTACTTACTTTGGCTGTGCCGGGGCTTGCTTGCCGTGACGGCTTTTCTCTAGTTGCGGTGAGCAGGTTCCACTCTCTAGTTGCAGCACGCAGGCTTCTCGCTGCAGTGGCTTCTCTGGCTGCGGAGCATGGGCTCTAGGGTGCCCCGGCTTCAGTAGTGGTGAAGGCTCTGGAACACAGGTTCAGCTGCGGGGCTCAGGGTTAGCGGCTCCTCGGCACGTGGGATCTTCCCAGACCAGGGATAGAACCGGCGTCTCCTGCGTTGGCAGATGGACTCTCTACCACTGAGTCACCAGGCAAGCCCTTGTCTTTCTTGTTGTGACTTACTTCCATCCCAACCTGGGACTTTCCTGCTGGCTCAGATGGTAAAGAAGCTGCCTGCAATGCAGGGGACTGTGTTTGATCCCTGGGTTGGGAAGATCCCCTGGAGAAGAGAATGGCAACCCACTCCAGTATTCTTACCTGGAGAATCCCATGGACAGAGGAGCCTGGCGGGCTACAGTCCACGGGGTCACAAAGACTCAAACACAACTGAGCGACTACCATCTTCCTTCCACACCAACCCAGGCTATCAATTGAATGTGATGGTGAAATGAAGACTTTTCTAGACATGTGATATCTCAGAATAACTTGTCCACCCACGTACCTTTTCTCATGAAACTACTGAAGGATGTGCTCAGCTAAAACCAGGGAGCTGAGAAAGAAGATGTGGGGTCCAGGAACAGGGACCCCAAACCCAGCGGAGACGAGGGAAGGAATTCCTTGGGTACTGGCTAAGAGAATGTCAGGAGACCAGCTGTGCCTTGGCCCAGGGAACAACTAGACCTGATCAGCAGGGTATCTGAACGTTCTAAGGGGTAAGGGAGTTTGTCCCCAGGAAAATAAATGAGACTGACAAATTATCAGACAGGTTTGGTCATGTGGAAAATTACATAGAGGGCATGGAAAAGTTTAGTCAATTGCTTTTTACAAAACAAGCCTAAGTTGATGAAAAATGAGGTAATTATTAATAGGAAAAACAAAAAAGAAAGGAAGTAGAATCATAGTCTACTATTCAGGCTGGGAATACATAGTAGTGAAGGCGTAGACTAAGGATTTAAAGCAATTATGAGCAACATCCCTTATGAGGGTGGTCCAGTGGTTAAGAAACCACATGCCAACATAGGGGACATGGGTTTGATCCCTGGTTCCAGAAGATCCCACGTGCTGTGGAGCAGTTAAGCCCAGGCACCGAAACTGCTGAACCTGCACTCCAGAGCCTGTGCTCCGCAATAAGAGAAGCCAATGCAATGGGAAGCCCACACACCAGAGCTAGAGAGTAGCTCCCACTCCCCACAAATAGACAAAGCCCATGCGCAGCAATGAAGGCCCAGTGCAGCCAAAATAATAATAATAAAATAATAAACATTTAAAAATTGAGATGCAAGTAGTTGAGGAGGATAGGGGAGGAGGAGAGAGAATGGAAGAAAAACTTCTAGTCCACTAAGATGTCAACCAATGTTTAAGATGATGATTCAACAGATTGAAGAATAAGTGTTATTTAGCATGAAAGTGAAAGTTAGCCACTCAGTCCTAACCCATGGACTGTAGCCCTCCAGGCAACTCTGTCCGTGGAATTCTCCAGGCAAGAATACTGGAGTGGGTTGCCATTTTCTTCTCCAGGGAACCTTTCCTACTCAGGGATCAAACCCAGGCCTCCTGTATCGCAGGCAGGCTGTTTACCCTCTGAGTCGCCATGGAAGCCCCCTGGTGACCCAGAGCGTAATTTAGAGAGAGTTATTTAGGGAGAGGGAGGTAAACAGCAGGGGAAAGAGCTTCAGGAGAACGAGGCGTGGGAGATGGGGTTGGGGAGAAGAGAATGCTCTTTTCAATTGTAAGCCTTTGAGCACTATTTGACTTTTCAAAAGATTTAGAAGTCCTACTTTGTTTAAACAACAACAACAACAACAACAACAAAATTAAGAAACTGATTTGGTTCATGTTCTTCCTCTGTGAAGACTTCCCTGACCACCAGGGCATCCCTTGAGAGCCCTTCCCTCTGGGAGCCAGTTGAGCGCTTGTCCTCAGCAAGAGTTCAAGAAGGGCTCTTGGAAAAGAAGTGAATGGATTCCTTAAAGCTGGTTAAGTTCAGACGAATTAAAAAAAAGAAAAGACTTTTGCAGAGGTTGAACTTGGAAAGCCAAACTAACATTACGGGAGATTTGTCTTTCATTGGCTATCACAGGTGGTAATGTCACATTTCTCCACACCCCCCCCCCCCGCCCCATTTTGGGGGTGGGATGGAGCTGGTTGAGGTCACAGGGTAGACAGAAGCAGGTTGGAAGGTAGACATGCTTGGGTCCCAGCACTATCTCTGCCTTTCAGTATACTGTGAGTTCAAGGCAGGTTACTTACCGCCCCGAGCCTCAGTTTTCCTCATCTGGACAGTGGGGAGAATAATGGAGCTAAACTGCTTTGTCAGGCTGTGGTTAAGGATCAGGAGAACGTCGGTGACGTGCTGGGCAAACAGTAGAGGCTGGTTAAATGGTGGATGGTTTTATTAAGCTGCAGGGTGTGTTCACTGATGGCACCTCTCTTCCCTTGACCCCACTTTCTGAATTCCAGTTCTTGCAGCTCCTCCGGGGAGCTCTGGCCTCCGTGTCAGACATCCCCAGAACAGACCCTGGACTCAGTGTGGGCAGACCATGTATTAGCAGAGCAGTTCAGAGCATCTACACATTTTCAGAGACATCTGAGTCATTCCATTTTGGGAGCTGTGCTGAGATGGTTTCAGCGGCTTTGCCTGCTTTCTAAACAAAAATTATTTAGGTGGGAACAGTTTCAGCTTGAGGTTTCCATGATTTTCACATGACCTTTAAATACCCCAGATTTGCAGTTTCCTTCTTTCTCTAATGAAAGTCTGGATCTTCTTGGAGAAAAGAAACTTAATTCCAGGCTTGGCCCTCCCTCTGTCCTGGCTTCCCTCTTCCCCTTTCACTGGCTCCACCCACCCACTCCCCCACGGTGGGCCTCCGTCCATCCACGCTGGGCTCCGGGCTCCGTGGGAACTCACCAAGCACCTCCCTCCGGCCACAGCCTGAGATCTTGACAAGTTTCTTTTTCTGGCTACGTTTAACCCTTTCCTCAGAATGTTCTCTTACCTTGGCTTTGGACACAGGAGTCTCCTTACTCATGTATTATTATCATCATTATTAGCTTGTCTTTGTCTTGATTCTGTGACCATCCCCTTAGGCCCAGTCCTTGCTTTTCTTTCACTTTATTGCCTTTATTCTTGGAGACTTGAACAATGCCCTTTACATGGATGATTCCCTTAACTATCTCCCCTTTCCGTTTCAGTCTGCCCCTGAAATTCTATTCTTGAGTCTCTGGTGGACTCCGGGACCTTGTCCCTGAGATGTCTTCTGCTGCTGCTAAGTCGCTTCAGTCATGTCCGACTCTGTATGACCCCATAGATGGCAGCCCACCAGGCTCCCCCTCATATCCCTTAGATAGACCTTGCCATCTGTCCCAAGCCCCGGCTAACTTCCCTGCCTCAGTCAGAGGCTCTAGAAAGCCTAGAGTTAGTCTTTGCTTCTCTCTCCTTCATTCCTCTCTGTCTTCTTCCCCCTTCAGCTTTACTTCTTGAGCCAGCCTTCTGATCTCATCAGGGTGGCCTCTGCGCTGTCCCCAAACCCATGTGGTCACTCCTCTGTTATGCCTGTAACGTCTTTCTGCGAGGACAAACTGTCATCACTGTGTTTTTCTAAAAGAGAGTCTCAGTGTTAGCCAATTGCATATCCGTTCTGAGTCCAAGAATGGTGCAAAGCATCCTTGGTCCCAGTGAGTCAGCTGCCAGTCTCCTCAAACCCAGCCACAGGCAGCGTGTGGCCTAATCACCGTGCAGAAGCCCTGTCCCGGGGGACTGGGGCGTGGCCTTTTCTTGGCGTCCATTTGACTAGAGTTGTGTGTGGCAGGGGACGTGGTTTCTGCAAGGTTCAGAGCTCAGCTCTCTCCTGAGTCCCAGCTCCACCCTGCAGGGGGACTGTTAGATCCTCAAGCATTTAAATTCTCCAAATTCTTAGAGGCTAAGAGAAATCAGTTATTCCCTCCTTTCTTGGATGCGTTATTATGCTAGCAGATTCTGTCTTTTTACTTCATCTTGTCCAGGAGGCTCTCTCCTCAAGGGTGGGGAGAGGGTGAACTTTCCATCCTGTGTGAAACTCATGTCCCGTCCCACTTGGATCTTTGTTTATGTTGGTCATCTATCCAAAATATTTACTTCTCGCCAATCTGGGGAGTTACAGTCTGCATATTCCCCAAGGTAGAGAGGAGTCTTAACCGTTCCTTTGCCACAGACCCTTTTGGCAGGCTGATGAAACCTACAGACCTCATCTCAAAAATATGATTTTAGATACATTAAAAAAACACATAGTACTATAAAGGAAACTGGTTGTGATGTGGTTGTTAAAATATTAAAGAACACCAAATTATGATATAATAATGCTATTCTCCTTTATTACTATATTAAATAAACACTATTATTTCAAAGCAGTGATGAACATTAATGATATTTTGAGTTCTCTGCAGTAGTATATGGTGATTAGGAAAACATCTGTTACACCTGCTTCTGTGGTTTGTAACCTACATTTATAATGGCATGAAATGCTAATTTTCAGTTAGAGATTAGTGAACACAGAGAGGCAATTTTTCCTCATCCAAGTTCATAGGTCCCCCTGAATTCAGTCCATGAATTCTAGGAATTCTTACTGTGGATCAGTTGAGAACCTCAATTCCTGCTTCCCTCACGGAGCACTCCTTGACTACCACAAACTCCTCTCTGACTTTTCCCTCACGCTGAACTCTTAAAACCTTCATTCAGTCAGCAAACACTGACACGGCTCATGTTCAGGCAACCACTGAAGCAGATGTTGGGTTCCACATAGTGAGATGCAAGACCCAGTATAATCAGTGGGTGGGATGGACACATTCTCATCCAACTATCACTCTAAATGTAACATGAAAGTCACCCTGAAAGAATTTAAACAATGGTCTGCAGTGTCCCAGAGGAGGTAGAAGTTAACAATTCATTTTGGCAAGGAGCTAGAGGAAGGAAATGTTACAAGAGGAAGGTAGCATTTGAGCTTGGCCTTGAGGAGAGAGTAGGATATAAACAATTTCCACATGGTTTAAGTAGATCTGGCTGGTATTTTTCCTTTGTCTTGCCACAAGTAAATATGAAACTCCAAGCAGGATCATGTCTCACAACATGGTTTTCTGTATTCTCCAGAACCTACCACAGGATTGATCACGGGCACTCAATCCATAACCTTTGATTAATTAATAATGTTTTTCAAGAATAAAATTTCTGTATCAATTAGTTAGTGCCATGGAGCAAAGCATCCCCAAACCTAGTGGCTTTAAACAACAGTGTCTTTCTCACTGGTCTGCGTGTTATTCTGCTGATCTGGCCAGGACTGGCTATTTCTCACCTGGGCTCTGTGGTCACTGGCACATTGACAGAGGCTGGTCGGTCTAGAATAGCCTTGACTGGATGGCTGGGGCACTCTTCTGCATGCTTTTTCAAGTCATGCTTGCATGAAGTTTACTGCCGTTCCATTGGCCAAAGCAAGTCATGAGGCCAGGCCCAGAGTCAGCGTGCAGGACAAGGGCAGGGTTACAGGGGGCATGAGAAGTTTTGGTCATTTTGTTGTTTAGTCGCCCACTTGTGTTCTACTCTTTGCAACCCCATGGACTGTAGCCCACCAGGCTCCTCTGGACGTGAGACTTCCCAGACAAGAATGTTGGAGTGGGTTGCCATTTCCTTCTCCAAGGGATCTTCCCCACCCAGAGATCGAACCTGAGTCTCCTGCCTTGGCAGGTGGGTTCTTTACTGCTGAGCCGTCAGTGGTCCTGTGCAATTTTGGCCATAGTTTTCACAATTAAACACTCAGCCTCAACTCCTTTGTGGAATGGGACAAATCTAAATCAACAGGCAAACGCGTAAATGAAATAGTTAAAGTGTAAGGGGCAATTTATTAATTCAACAAGCAATGTGGCCTCTCCTGTGGCTATATCCTAAGTGTTTGAAGAATGTTATCCACAGAGACTGGCTGGGCCATCCTTTTATTATTCTTTTTTTTAAACCGGGATGCAAACCCATTGAATTGTCCTTTCATGTTTGATGTTCCATCAGTTAAGCATCCCACACAATTTTTCATAGAGATGCTTTCTTTTCCCCTGAGGACATCTGCAACAATCCAGAACACACTTTCCTCGGTCCTTGACTCTAAGTTGCTATAAATATCAGACATTCTGTCAGCAGCTCAGGTTTCCTGAACCAATATCACTGGTCCCTCTGCTTTGAGCTGTGTCTGTTAGAGGCGGTGGCGTGGTAGAAAAAGCGAAGTGGAAAATACAGGTCAGAAAACTTGTTCTTTGAATTAACTGGGGGAAAAGCATATGTGTGTGCGTGTGGAGGGGGCGGGCAGATTTCGCCATACAATTGCTTTTAATTGTTCAGGCTTTAATGTAGGTGATAGTGGAATTTGAAAAAAAAAAAACATGCTGGCAGAGTGGAATGTGCTGTTGCCGGGGTAGGGGGCCATGCAGACCTGAGTGTGTTTAATAGCTCGCTATTTGTGGGCTGTGTGACTTCAGGCAAGTGGTTTCAGTCTCTGAGCTCCACTTCTGATCTGTGAAAGAAACCGGCCATGTGCTGACCTCCGTCTGCGGTGAGGATTCAGTGAGCTGTCATGCTTCTGAGGTGAGTGGCTCAGCAAATGTTTGATATTATTTCTTACAGACTGGAAATAAAAATCCAAATGAGTTACCAACAGCAGGAAGATGGCTCTCTGTCAGTCTGGGAGAGAGTAACTCAGGGACCTGCCTTCCACTCTTAGACTTGCCTCTAACTAGGGGACCATTTAAGCCTCAGTTTCCACATCTGTTGAGTAGAGCAATTAATATTCATAGCCTTGTTTTGACAATCAAATGGCATATTGCACAGGCTTTATTTTTTAAAAGATTTTAAAATCCCTTTGAATACACGTGAAATAATGCTGCAGTGATTGGCCCCTCCCCAGGGGATTGTTCAGATGGGCTACTCTGCACCCAGCCCTCTGCTCCTGTGGTTAGCAGTGGTGTTGAGGAGGAATTAAAATTAAAGGCGTGTTTCCTTCCAGATGTTGTTGCTACAGGCTCAAGGTGCTCTTTTAACTGGGACATCAGGCTCTCTTGAAATAGACAAGAATTCTAGAAACATGACATTGGGCCTGATTCATCGCTTAAACTTGTGGCTGACTCATTCTCTCCTTGATCGTTTCTTCAACAGTAACTTTAATTACATCATTTTACTTATTGTTCTTTTTTCCCTTGATTTATTTTCTTCTTACGATTCTTGTTTATTGTCTCAGTGATTTGGCCTTCTCACCTCTGAGACTTGTGTAAACCTTCTGGACTCTAGAAATAGGAACGGAACTTTCCATGTACCTCTAATAATGAGTACTCTCACCCTGCCCCCCACAACCCCCAAGCTTGTATACTTGAAATACATCAGCAGAAGGAATACTTTTGACTTTGCTGGTGTTTCACAGAGCTTATGTTATTGAATGCTCTCAGCTACCCTACAAGATAGATACAATCCAGTTTTAAAAAAAAAAGAAATGCAGGGACAGAAGCGTCAATAGGGAACAGTAACTTGCCCAAGGTCAGTGAGGTAGGTTGCAAAAGTGATCCCAGCTCTTCATCCTTTCCTGCATTCATACCCTTTCTCCCATCATCTGCGTCCTCTGTGTCCTTCTTCTTTGGCTCTGGGCTTAGCAACGAAACTTGCTCCGGCTGAAGGGATGATGGCAAACGTGATGTAAGCAAAAGCCTGAGACGCCCCTGGGCAGTCAGTTGGACTTGCCTTGTCTCTTGTAGCTCTGCCGTGGCCGCGAGAACGCGCCTGGTTTAGCCGACTGGAGGATGAGAGACGTGTGGAGAGCAAGTCCCTGCAGTGGTCCCTGGAGCCCAGCCTAAATCACTCAATGGCAGCCAAACTCTAGGTATGTTAGTGAGTCCAGCCAGGATCAGCAGAACCACCTAGCCAACTATCCCAGATGCGTGAGCAATAAATGCTGATTACTGAATACCGTTGAGGTTTTCTTGTTATTTGTTTCACAGCGTTGTTGTGGCAAGAGATACCTGATAGCGTGAGTATATGGGAAAAGAGCAGGTCTTGGGAACTGGTTAGGCCTCAGTTTGAGTTCCAGCTGTGATGTTTGGAGGGTGTTCCTTTTCGAGATTAAATTTCTTTCTCTTTAAGATGAGGTAGTAATTCTTCCCTCATAGGGTGGCTAGAAAGATTAAACACAAGGCAAAAGAAAGAAAACCTTTGGGACCCAGTATAAATTGTAGATGATGTCCAAAAGATCATGGCTTCTCCCAGCAAACCTTCAGAACGAACAACTATGGGACCCAGATCAAGGTCTGTCCAATGTGAGGCTGATACCCACCACATCAACTCAAAGACAATAATGAAGACCGGAAGGGACTGATTCTATCCTTACACTGAGATGCAGCTTCCTTGAATCTGCCATTGTCATGTATTGAGCAAGATGGGCCTTAAAAAGATGATTGCTTAAATTGAAGGGGCTGAAGAAGAAAAGCAAAGTCCAAGATTTTCCTCTGAGCCCGTGGTTTAGCCAAACAGATGGCAGTGAACTGGGGGAGGGCTGTTGCTTTTGCCCTGGGTGTGGGTTTGGTTCAGATCAAGGAACTCAAGGCACCAACGGGGACAGTGCCTGGCCAGGTAACGTCTGCTCTGACTCTGTTGTTTGCCCTCCTGCATGTGTGTGCATTTTTAATGACAGATCATTCAGGAAATGTGAATATTTCTCTAGGGGGTTTTGCTTTGTCACTTGGCCTTGTTTTTTGGGTCCTTTCCCTTCCTTTGAAGCCATTGTTTGACATGAGAAACATATTCAGGTAAGCTTATGGCTGATTACCCCAAGGGGGAAGGAAAAAGAAAACCAACCCAGCTAAAATACAGAGCAATTAACTCAATAAACTAAGAAGTTATGAAAGGTATGAGATGCTTTTTGAAAATTAAACATAAAATTCATATACATTTAAGGAAGAGGTTTCTTCCCGAGGAATTGAGAGCTTTCCTACAAAATCCAGCAGCTTTCTGCCCCAGATAGCTCACTCCTCTTTAGCTTTTCTGACGGTGGCAATGGGGTGACAAGTTACATGCACCTGTTTTTAACAGGTGACAACAGTTACATGACTCTACTTCTAAAGCATGGTGTGACCTGGGATGAATCACGTGGCATTTCTGAGCTTCAGCGTCTCACCAGCAAAATGACATTTTGATAAAATTTCTTTACAAGAAAATAAATTTATTGTTTTTTAAAGCAATGATTTATCCTTTTTTAAACAATGATTTGCTCCCCCCCCCCCCCCCCCCCGATTTGTGAATTGGTTTGGCTCAGCAAGGAGATTCTTTCTTGGGTTCTCTCACGTGGCAGCATCAGAGAGTGGCTGGGACTGGAGTCATCTGAAGGTCAACAGGACTTGATGTCTGAGATGGTCCACTCTCATGCCTGGCGTTTATTTGATGCTGCCTGCCATCTGGAGATTCATTTGGGACTGACTGCCAAACTGAGGAGTACCTGGACATGGCTTCTCCACGTGGCTTGGGCTTCTCATGGTGTCTGGGTTCTCGGAGGGAATGCTCAAGAAGGCACCCAGGTGGAAGCTGCAAGGCTTCTTATAACTTATACTCAGAGGTACAAAGACATCACTTTTTGCTACATAATTAGGTTTCTTTTGATGCTGAAATTTTATGATTTCTTGACCTGAATCCTCTGTTTTCTGCTAATGAATCAGATGCCAGTTGATGAAGCCAAGCCGAGAGCCAGCTGAGCCTGGCCACACAGGTGGCTGTGTCTCATGCTAGAGTCACAAGCATAGAATGAATGTATCATCCTAATTATCTGGGAAGGGAGCTCAGGGTAGTTTGTCATTGACCAGCGCCTGCTGATTTCTTTCTGTGCCCACCCCTGGGCTCTGAATCTCTGCCCCTCACTCCAGCCTGCCACTTCCCCCCACCCCCCGCCAGTACAATGATGAAGTTGAGCATGTGTTAGGCATGTGAGGGTGAGAAAGGGAAGACAGAGTTTCTGCTTTTAATCTAGATGAGAAGACTAGCAACGAGAAGAGAAAAAGGTTGCTGTGCATGACAGTGCATGCTGAATGCCAGATGGGGGTCACAGAAAGTGGGAGAGGCATTCAAAGGAAGGAGAGACGGGGGAGGGCAGTCTTCTTGGAGGAAGGGGACCTTGGAGCTGAAGCTGACCTTGAAAGGTGGGTGGGAATGACCCAGGGCAGCAGTGGGGGAGGGTATTTCAGGAAGAGCAACCAGAAGCAGGCAGAATGTGAGGCAGGGAACAGTAACCATCTACAGTGTGGAGGTGAGGGGAGGTCACAGGAGAAGAGCAGGAGAGGCAGGCAGCGCCTGGGGTCATGCATGGCCTGGTGGTCATGCATGGAGGACAAGTAGCAAAAGCCTCATTTTCCTGGACAAGGACACAGGAGCTCAGGAAGATAAAGGGACTTGATTAAGGTCACAGGGCTTGTAAGTCACAGGGTCAGGATTTGAACCCAGGCTGATGTGACTTCTCAGCCCTGTGGCCTTGCCATCATAGCCAGCTGTGAGCTCTGGGTTTCCCAGAGGCCCTTCCTCTCATCTCTGAGGCTCCTGGCAGACTAAGGGTGTTGCTTTTCTGCACCATTTATTGTAATGACTTCAATTAAACCATCTTGTGCTGGATCAGTGAGCAGCTCTGGGGAATCGATGAGCAGGGCTGGCTACCAGGGAAGGGGAGCCTCCTCCCCTCATCCCTGCCAATCCCAGGGCTGAGCTCCTGTGACCCAGGCCTGGAAAGGACCAGAGAGAGGAAGACAGGGGGCTGGGGACAGGCAGCAGGTCACAAAGAGACAAGGGAGCAGGTGCCTCTTACCCTGCAGACACAGAGGACGCAGGGCCGGCCCCTGGGGGCCCCTCCTCCCCCACTCTGCCGTCTTCTTCTGGCTAATTTGGATTTGCAGCTCCAGCTCTGGGACAACGGGCCATCTTTACTTGGCTGCCTTCACTGCAGGGCCAGTACCTAACGAACCTTGACCCTGAGGGAGAGGGGCCAATGGCCTTGTACTAACTTGCTGCCTGACCTTGGGCAAGTTCGCCTCGGCTTTCTGAGGCTTCTGGGGAAAAAAAAAAGTGAATTGAGATTCACTAGGCTGTTATTCTCTGCTTGTCCATTCCAATTTAGGGTCTCAGGTCTCCCCTTCTTTGCCCTGACTTGTGTCTTGGGAGGCTGCCCTCTGTGCAGTCAATCAGTGGACGCCTTTGCCAGCTGGAGGGTGGAGGATTTCTTGCCCACGGCCTCTCTTCATGGTGGCGGGGGCTGTGGAAGTGCTTCTCTGTTCGGCCAACAGCTCTTCCCCTCTTGCCTCAGCGCTCCCTGGGCTCCAGGAGTGCTCCTGCCTCCTCCCCTTCCTTGACCCGTGAGGCCCCCCGGGGTAGGGGGGTGGCCTCCAGCTGTTTGTAATCTCAGGGTTTTCAGCATCCCTTCTAGTTTCTCTAATCCTGCCCATCTCTCTGGAAATAAGTCTCTCCTCTTTGTTCAAATCTCTTCAGTTGAACTATTTGAGTGAAGCTCTGTTTCCTGCTGGGACGCTGATGCATCCTCTGAAGGCCCCTTCCAGCTCCGTGATTTGAAGGGTTTGTGAGGGCGAAGATGCAAAGAGCTGGCCAACTTCCAGGACTCGTGAAGCTCTGATTATCCCACGACAGAGAGAGTCCAGACCAAGGGACCCCAGCTTCTAGCAGCTTCCCCTTCTCTTCCCCTAGTCTTCAACTCCCTCAGTTGTAGCTCAGATCTCAAGCATGTGTTTTTTCTTTTCTTTTTTTTAATTTATTGATTTTTTTTTTAAGGGTTACTTAATTTTTTGGCTGTGCTGAGTCTTCGCTGCTGTGAAAGGGCTTTCTCTAGTTGCGGCGAGCAGCGGCTCCTCTCCACTTGCATTTCGCTGGCTTCTCATCGTGGTGGCTTCTCTTGTCGTGAAGCACACACCCTAGGTGCGCGGGCTTCAGTAGCTGTGACAAACAGGCTTAGTTGCTCTGAGGCCTGTGGGATCTTGCCAGACCAGGGATCGAACTGGTTCCCCCTGCATTGCAAGGTGCATTCTTAACTGCTGGACCACCAGGGAAGCCCATGTGGTTTTTTCTTTTAATGCAACTGTATTGAGGTATAACCTCTGCACAACCGACAGTATCCGTTAAAAGCACAACTAGATAAGTGCCTGTCCTTTTTGCCCAGATCTAACAACTTTCTAGTTGGGCTCCAGCCTTCATTCTCATTCCTGCAACTTCACATTCCTCAGATTGGGTCATGTCATTCTCCTGCTCTAAAACCTTAACCGGCATGCCTGTGCTTTGAGGTCAAAGCCCAAATTCCTTAGAGCGACACAGGAGGCTTTCATGAGCTGAACTTGAATCCTCCAGGCTGCTACCACTTCCCTGGATGCTCCAGCCATAAGGAACTTGAGCCACACTCTCTCCAAGCTCTCTGCCTCTGCACGATCTGTTTCTAGACCTGAAATATCTAGCATCCTCACGTCACTGACCCTCAGCATCCCTCCATGCCTTCCAAATTCCTCTTCATCCTAGAGCATCAAGGGCTTCCCGGTGACTCAGTGGTAAAGAATCCATCTGCCAAAGCAGGAGAAGCAAGAGACATGGGTTCGATCCTTGGGTTGGGAAGATCCCCTGGAGTAGGAAATGGGAAGCCACTCCAGCGTTCTTGCCTGGAGAATCCCATGGACAGAGGAGCCTGGTGGGCTACAGTCCGTGGTGTCACCAAGAGTTGGACAAGACTGAGTGACTGAGCGCACGCACACACACACCAGAGCATCAAGCTGGAGCACAATCCCCTCTGTGAGGGTCTTCTTTATGGTGCCCCAACTGAGCAGAGTCCCTCCTATGCGCTTCTGCAGCACGTTGTGGCTATTTTTGCATTTACACTTATTCTGAACCATAAAGTTACTACACTTTTTCTGAACCATAAATGATATTTGACTCTCTTGTTAGAGTGTGAGCAGTTTGAAGTTAGAGTCTGTCCCATCTCTGCACCCTTAGCTACTAACACTCTATGTGGTACATCATTCATTCATCCATTCAACAAGTAGTGAGTACCTACTGTATGCCACACTCTCTTCCAACATGGGGACTAAGGACTATACAACAAGACAAGGATGCTGGTTATTTAGCTGCTGTCAGGTCAAGTCATGTCAGTCACTCAGTCGTGTCCAACTCTTTGTGACCCCATGAATCACAGCACGCCAGGCCTCCTTGTCCATCACCAACTCCCAGAGTCTACGCAAACCCATGTCCATCGAGCCGGTGATGCCATCCAGCCATCTCATCCTCTGTCGTCCCGTTCTCCTCCTGCCCCCAGTCCTTCCCAGCATTAGGGTCTTTTCCAATGAGTCAACTCTTTGCATGAGGTGTCCAAAGTATTGGAGTTTCAGCTTCAACATCAGTCCTTCTAATGAACACCCAGGACTGATCTCCTTTAGGATGGACTGGTTGGATCTCCTTGCAGTCCAAGGGACTCTCAAGAGCCTTCTCCAACACTGCAGTTCAAAAGCATCAATTCTTTGGTGCTTAGCTTTCTTCACCGTCCAACTCTCACATCCATACATGACCACTGGAAAAGCCAGCTGTCTCCCAGCTCCAAATCCATCTTTTTATTACTATGCTTTTTGATACTGGTAGCGTCTTGATGCTGGTAGGGTAAAGCATCTGCCTGCAGAGCAAGAGGCCTGAATTCGATCCCTGGGTCAGGAAGATCCCTTGGAGAAGGCAAACCACTCCAGTATTCTTGCCTGGAAAATCCCACGGACAGAGGAGCCTGGTAGGCTACAGTCCATGGGGTCGCAAAGAGTCGCACACGACCGGGTGACTTCACTTCACTTGACACTAGGGCATGGACGCCACAAACTGTGAAAGGGAGAGTGTTACTTGCTCAGTTGTGTTCTACTCCTTGCACCCACACGGACTGTAGCCCGCCGGACCCCTCTGTCCCTGGAATTCTCCGGGCAAGAACACGGGAGTGGAGCCATGCCCTTCTTCCGGGGATCTTCCCGACCCAGGGACCATCTGAATCATCAGAGAAGGCCTCTATGACCTATGGGAACCCTGCAAACTACCATTCTTCTTCGTTCTGGGACCTCCTGCTTCTGCCAGCAGAGACACTAGAGTGAGTCTGAAAGTCAGAAGGAAGGAGCCAGGACCTGCCCCTGCCTTTTTGTTTGCTGGGTCCTGTAGGGGTTGCCCCATCAACGGCCTTCTTCCTATTGGCTACAGCTGGTTC